ATAGCATGTTTCTTTCAGGCATCTCGGGGGGGGGGGGGGGGGCACTGCCAACCCGGGAGAAGTCAGCTGCCCCAGGCCAGAGCAAAATGTATGCAACAATATAACGATTATATATTATTTTTAATTATCTTGTATGGTATGATCCTTTTTCTTTCCAGTTCCAGTCTTTAGGTTCAAGGGCATGCCAACTACTCCAGATGTGTCCCATACTTTGAGTGTCTGCCTATAGATCGCGTCTCCATGTGTTTTGAGGCATCCTCTCTTTCTTTTCCCCGGTGGATTTCATGTTAGAGATTGTATGATGTAACTGGGGGTTTGTGGAGAGTGTGTCCTATCCACCTCCACCGTTTCCTTATGATAATTTCAGAAATAGGATACTGGTGTTTCCTTTCTAGGAAGTCTTTGTTGGTGATGGTGTTTGGCCATTTGATGTCCAGGATCTTTCTAAGGCAAGTGTTTATGACGGTCTGCACTTTCTGCGTAATGCTCGCAGTTGTTCTTCAAGTTGCGGCTTCATAGAGTAGGACTATTTTGACATTTGTGTTGAAAATTCTAACTTTGGTTTGAAGAGTCAGCTTCTTTGACTTCTTTAATAGCATAAATGCTGATCTATCCTTTACAATTCTAGCCCTGACATCTGCTTCAGATCCATCATTTATGTTAATGGTGCTGCTACAAGTATGTGAAGGCCCCCACTTGTTCCAATGCATTTTCTGCCAGAGAGATATACTCTTGGTTGGCTGAGTTTACCTTCATGATCTTTGTCTTGCTTTATATAAAAAAGCAAGATTCATCGACGCCCTCAATGTCTTTCCTAGATACCGATGAAAATGATCGCTAATTTTGGTGACGATGGATAGGGGCGTATCTTAGTGGCGTAGCTAGGGGGGTGCGGACCGCACCAGGTGACACCATCTCAGGGATGACACCAAATTGAAAAATTGCCTATTTACAGAGCACACACAGTTCAGTCTAACCGAATTTCATAAAAAGATAACTGATTACACGTAAATTTTCCACACATGTAACAAATCCAAAATGCTTGCTGTATGAAAAGTTCAAGGCTGATGCGCCAGAAATGAGGTGACCCTATAATTAAGTCAGAAAAAACTTTTTTGACTTTAAAAAAAAAACAGCCAATTGAAGTGTTCGGTAACTTTTGTAAATGACAGGAAACTATATTTATCTAAATTAGGAGAAATAAGCTGTCCATTGATACCGAATATGATGTGGTGGGGAAATTTTAAGTACATGAATCGAATCGGCAAAAATTAAAAACATTTTAAAAATGACATTTTACCCATTTATAGGGTTAAAAATGCCATTTTACAAAAAAAATTTAACATCTTTTAATAAATTCTAATTTAAATTAATGAAAAATTTGTTTTTTTAAATTTTGAAACCAAACATATCGAAACCCAGAAATACTCAAAAATAAATATGTTCGCCGATTCGTCACTGACTGTCTGTGATTTCGCGTTTATCTGCTACTTTTATCTTTGGGATGATCTACTTGAGGAAGTTAATATTGCACATCAGTATCCGCAGACTACAGGCTTTACTCTTGACAAAGTGGTGACCAACCTTGAGGCCTTAAGATTTTTTTCTACACGAGAAGCGCTGTCGCTTGGTGCAACGTGCTATTGATAATGCACTTTTGAAGTCAGACCAGCGATGAATTAAGAGAAGATTAAGGTTTAGGAAGAGAATAACAGAACTATCTACGATCAACCGTGGAACAGTCAAGGCTTTCTGATATGGCTATACTATCAAGTGATGCGGTGAATGATATTGTTGTTGAATACAAGAAAAGGAAAATTTTAAATGATGTAAATTTAATGTAAAAATGACTATATCTTAACGTTGTTACAGTTATGAAATACATTTACCTATTTACCTTCAATAAATGTTTTTTGTCTTCTTGTCATTGTTATACTGTGGACTTAATTTAACAAGAAGAAATCCGTCGTGGAAGTCGGGGCGAGGGGTGACACCATGAATTTACCGCACCGGGTGACACCAAACCTAGGGCGGTCAAATTTTTTGCCGCTTTCTCTTTCTCGATACTGAAATATTTCATTAACTGTATGGGACCGAGCTATTGCTCTTTAATGGCCCCGGCTAGTATGGAACAGGCCTGCCTCATCTGCTGGGCAGTCCCGTACAACAGGCTCTCGACGTGGTTGGCTGGGAGAACCCCAGTCACGCCAGTCGCTAATGTTGGGCACCCGGCTAGAAGGTGCTCTACTGTCTCCGGTGCATGTCCACAATGGCGGCAGCTCGGGTCCCGTAGTGGGTTCAACCTATTTAGATAGCTCCTCGTGGGGCAGTGCTCAGTCCTCATTTGTGTGATGAGGCTCTGCTGGTGTCGTTTAAGGTTCCACCATTGATCGCCCTTTCGGTTAGTTTTAGGCATGTTCCGGTAAAGCTTTCGTGCAGTGGTGCCCTTTTCCCATTCTTTCCTCCATTCCTCCTGAAAGAGGTCCTTTATCCAGGCTTTGACCCCCAATTGGGTCATTGGCCTGTCAGGTTGGGGTTGGGAAGAACCTTGTTTTGCAAGCCAGTCAGCTCTGACTTGTGGGGGGATCCCCGCGTGTCCTGTGATCCATTGAAGGGTCACATTCCCTCCGTGAGATCGTATGTCTCGCACGAGTTCCATGATTGCCTGCACCGTCTTAGTGTCCCAAGAGCACCTCTTCACAATTTCAAGAGCACATTGTGAATCGGTGAACACTACGACGGATGGAAATATTTTGCGTTTTTGAGTCTATTTGTACTTGCCATGTTGAATACTGAGACTGGGAAGAATGCTTCATCCCCTGAGGGACTGACTTGCGTCGTCAGTCCCCTTTCCCAAGGGGTCTATCGGACTGGACATTTGGCGTTTAGCCGGGTTTTTTAGTTTCGGGTAGTCGGGTCTACCTTACTCGTCCACCACGCTGCGAAGAGGCAAAACCCTTGTGCCACCACCAAGTTACCTCGGTGGTGTTGGGTCACTGGCCTTTGCGGGCCAGGTCACTCCCAGCGGCTCTTTCTCGATACAAACTGTGCAGTTGTCCGAAAATACCCCACCTCCATATACAGAAAAAGTGATACCTGGATGAACACCCCCACCCTTCCCTTTCTTCACCACTGCCAGGGGCGTAACTAGAGTGTTTTGCGTCAGGGGACATGCTTCATTTTACGCCCCCCTCAACTCTGAAACTAATTATGTTCAACCATAAAATACCATCAAAGCACATATTGCTGCACCCGCTAGTCTGGCGCCACGGGCCGTATGTCCCAACTGCCACCCTTTAGTTACGCATCTGACCACTTCCCGCTAGCAGCTGGCACTGCCCCCCCCCCCCCCCCCCCAAACCTAAAAGTTTAAAGTCCCCCCGAAATCTAAAATGTTATAGTCCCCGTCCCCCCGGGGGGGGGGGGTGGGGGTGGTGGTGTCTGGAAATGTTTTTGAACTTAATAAAAGATTTACATTCCACATTCAACCATTTTCAAGCGCATTTTTAGCTTTCAATGGGTGGTAAAATTACTTAAAACAATTAGGGGGTGTAGTCTGTAAAGGTTGGGAAACCCTGGTGTATGAAACATCCAGCAGTGAATAAAATGAAGGGAGAGCACTCTGGTAAAATAACAATGTCAGTGCTGGCCAAGTGATACAATCAGAGTGGCGAATATTTACGTATATGTGGCTACATACATTAGGCCTTTTACTAAATTAGAAGAGAAACTTAGATAAGTTTATAAAATGTGGTTTCTATACGTTCTAAGTTGGATCGCTTTGATTATTCAACTTTGCATCGTCACACTGTCTATAGGTAAACTAAAAATAAGGGATTAGCCTACCAAAAAACCATCAACTTGACTTATACTTATAGTACTTATACTTATATTAATAATTTAATTAATTACTTTGGTACTTCTTACTTTAACACTTTTACTTTAGAAGTCGTCTAGTAGCTATTGAAGTAAGCCTACTACTAGAGTCTACTACTCTTCTCATTAAAAAACACCTTCACTGAAAAAGGTTTATAACAAAAATAACAAACAAACTTCCACTTTAAAAATTCATAGCTATAGGCGCCATAGCTCAAAATCAAAAACTACTACACTAGACTAGAGTCTAGACTAACTAAACATGACTAAAGATAGAAAGTTAATTTTGTTAACTTTTTTTTTAAACCTCTTAGATGGAGCATTTTTTAACTGTCAGTTCCTAAGAAGACAGCCCTTTTCACAACCTCTGCACTTACGTTGCAAAAACATTTATGAAAAATAAACTTATTACTTTAAAAATATATAAAACTTTTTTGTGTCTGCGCGTGGGGGCGGGCAAAAAAAAATCTTGGTCAGCTGTGGCCTCTGGGTGACATTATCCCTAGCTACGCCATTGCCTCCTTGACCCAGAAAAGAAGTAGTAGTAGGGACTTTAGGGAAAAATTCAATTAAAAAAAACAAAACAGTACACAGTACATGTCTATTTTGCTTGTAAAAATAGCCGATAGAAGGAAGTAGGGAGGAAGGCCAAAGCCCACTGTAGCATCACAGGGACAAAATAGCTGATAAAGCCATAGAGTTGATAGAGCAAACTAACCCTTTTGAGATGGCTGGGCCGATCCATCGGCTCAGGGTGTTATATCAAAAAAGGTGAAAGGCTGATCCATCAGCCCAGTAATAAAAGCCTCGATATAGGCTAGCTGGTATTGTACAAGCTAATCAGATTGTTTCTCGTATTTCTTGCTCTAAATTTTTTAGGCTGCTAAATATAAATTAAATATTAATGAATTAAAGATAAATGCATCCAGAAATGAATAAGGTTAAATAAAAATAAATCATTAACTGCGGAAAAAATAATTAACAATGACCAATAAATCTATTTTTGGCCCTTCGGACCAACACATGCTAGATATAGAAGTATATTAATAAGACACGAACAAATTGTGTCAATAGAACAATATGAGTTAGCTTTAATAATAATTGTACATTATACAGAATTAAACGTTTCGGCACATGCCTTCATCAGTACAAACAAACACAACACATTTAAATAAGTATAAATTAAATTTACATAATGTCAATATATATATCCTACCTAAAACAGAAAAAAATTTGTTCGTGTCTTATTAATATATTTTAAAGCTTTATTGCAGTCCAACACTTTTTATAGATATAGAAGTACTATACTAAAGCACACACAAATTGAAAGTGAAACAAGATTAAAACAACTGGAAGTCTCGAGGGAGGCAAGATTTCATTGCTATTTTAAAATAAAATGAGATAGAGGTGTGTCGCTATGCGCAGGAAAGCATTTAAAGCATCCGTTTAGGCGCAACTGTTGGGAATGAATTAATGGCAGCTTCCATTGATAGTTAATGGTGTTGTATCATTTTATGTCAACTTAAAAAAAATTTTTTTTTAAAATACTTAGTGGCCCCTATAGATGCTTAAAAAATATGTGACCTTGAAATATGCTAAAAGGCTTAAGCAGCCCTCGGAGAATAATTTGTACAGCGTTTCTCATCCCATCTCATTCAAATATGGGTTGGGACCTATTTAGGCTTTAACAATCCTACAATTAAACAAAATTCTACATTAAGACATGTTTGTTCTAAAATTAAAAAAAAAATTCATGCATAAATTATACAAATAAGGATAACTAATTAGCTTAAATGTTGAGATTTCAGTTTGATACTTCAAGATTGTATTAGTTTATTCACTCCCTACAACAATATATATAGTTTTATATTTTTAAAGTAAATTAGTTTATTTTTTTATAAATTATTTTGCAAAGTTGGTGCAGGGCTTGTGAAAAGGGTTCTATCTTTTTTGCATAAACTTTTAAAAAAGGCTCTGTCTAAATAGGGTTAAAGTTAAAGTATTAGTGTTTTACATAAATAAAGAGTTTAAGGTTCATAGTCAGTCATGCATACAGTGCGCACAATTAATTTTTTTGGTTCAAACTTTTCACATTAAAAATGTGCGCACAGAGACTAGAAAAATTAAAGGCAGCATGGATTAGTGGTTCAGACTCCACTGAGACATGGATTGCTTGACCTTTATTGGCAATTGTATTTTAATACTACTACAAAGGGCAGAAATAATTTGTATTTTAAAAATATATTTCTTATAACTTAGGCCCCATTAAATTTATAATAATTTAATTTATAAATTCTATTTAGCTGCAGGTCTGTACTATTTAGCAGAACTTGTTGAAGAGTATACAGTTATTGCTGGAAAGTCAATAAAGTATCTAGTTTATGTAAGTATTTGTATACTAAAAGCATCCTGGAAAAAAGCAAATTATCGCCTATTTAAACTTTAAGTTGTCCTACTAACAAGATTAATTTGGAAATTTTAATATTTGCTAATTTGCATTATCTTTTAACTTGATCTGCTATCCTTAATCAATAATTAGAATTTAATTTATAACTAAATGTCTGTTTAATTTTGGTTTTAGTTTTGTCAAATAGAGTTCTGAAAACTTTTATAAGTTATTTTGGAATTTTTTTTTTTACATTTTAATTTTACCACTGATTTTGCTTGTCCCTTGATTAAGTTGATTAAAGAGTGTTTTTCATTATCACATATACAGTGTACAATATGCATCTACATTGGCATGCTGATATTTGAAGACTTCAGTATCCTGATGATTGTTGGTGGGCTGTGCAGCTGTGTGGCTCACTTATTCATTCTTCAGAATTTCCCCTATTTTTTCTTATCGTCACCATCTTTTATCAGTGCAGTTGGTATGAGATAATTTTTTTTTTACTCTGTATCAGAGACTTTTCAAACATTTGATATATATTAATATATATATGTTTTGGTTGTTAATTTTGTTTTAAATTGCAAACCCAATATCAGTTTAAGTAATTAAAAATAATTAAATATATAATCTGTTTTAATAATTAGATTACTATTTATATTAGCTTTTTAAAATTTGGTTTTCCTCTGACACAGATTGAAATATTGATAAGATGATAAGCGCCAGTTTAAAGTTCAAATCAGGAAAAAAATTATTTGTCAAATTTAAAAATTGTTTTATTACAATACCGTATATCACCTTTGGTTGATACACTTGACTGCAACAGCTTCTAAATATTATTGTAATATGATTGAATTGTATCAGACTTGATTAATGTAATTTCCAGTTACAAAAACCAGTTTGTTTGTTAGAAGCAGATTACACATCTGCAAAGACACTACCAATTGGGATTTCATTCTTTCTAAGTGGCAGTCAACAAAGAATAAAAAATTTAAATTTTTTAAAAATAACCATTGTTCCATGAAAAATGTATTATAGACTTGATTGTAGCTGACCAACATATACGTGTGCCATATTTTATTACACTTACATCAAGTATTGGCATACCATGATATTAAAAAAATCATTTATCTAAGAATAGTATGGTAGAACCCCTCTAAGATGCAAACATTGGGGTCCATAAGCTTGCATTAATAATTGGGTCGCATTATAGTGGACTTTCACAATATTGAGGGCAAACAGCGCTGGGATTATTAAAAGCAGAAAGATAAGTTAATTTTTTTTAAAAAAGATATGTGACTCTGCTGTCGGCTACAATGGGTGGCTTTTGCTTGAATTGGCACATTTACAGCCCTGTATTTCTTTGGCACATCTGGGTGACCAAGGTTTTCCCTACTTCATCTTTGCATTCATGTCTGGCTATGCATACATGCCCTATAATCCATACTATAACATGACCTTTTCTGTTTCTGTCTGGATTTTGTCTACCAAATCCAAGATAGTATTTACAATAGCTGTGTCTATCCAACCCTTTCCCACTGTCTTAAGGGCCCAGAAATGATAATTACCAAATGATATTTGAAGCTTTAACAAAAACCTATAATCTGATAATTATTTTACCATTCTTGATGTATTTATACACAATGCACACACACACACACACATGTATATATATATAAGAGAAATATAATGTTTTTGTTTTAAATGAGAAAGTCTTATACACTATGTGATAGAAACTTGTGTTTCTTAATTAACAGATAATTAAATTAATGTTTAATATCTGAGGGAAATATATAGATAGATATATTTTTTTGTTTTTGTAAATATTGTTTTTAATGATGTTCCATTAGAAGAAACAATTTTACTTAGCACTTCTTTTTATCATAAGTTAAACATTCTGTAAGGATAATGAGTTTAATTATCTTGTCATTTATGCATTGTGTAATATTAATTTTTTTTTTTTTCAACAAATTTCTTTATAAATATTTTTCTAATCCTTAGTCCTTCTTTTGGTCAATCACTACCTGGCATTTTCTCACTTTTCAACAAACTGGTATCCATTCTCAGAGGTAATTGTGGAGTACAAAATGTGGCATAAAATTGGTGCACATTGTTGTTTGTTGTGTTTGATGCATTTTATTAGTTAGAACCTTTGTGGAATGTTTGTTGTCAAGGCTGTTAGGTCATTTATGTTTCAGTGACTTTGTATTTTTTATTATGGAAGTGTGTGCACAGCATAAGATAAGTAGTTAGAACAAAATGATTAGTTATATCAGAACTTTTGTATAGTTAGGTGATCATCTATCTTTTTTGCAAGTTGCATAAGGTAAATTATTAATTATAGTTGGCAGTTTAATATTTTTATATCTACATTTGTATAGGCAGGAGATGTCGAGAGAATGGCAGGCAGCTAACCACCTAGTTAAGCAGTTACATTAAATAAAAGATGGTTATCCAGAGGGATCCTGTTTTATTTATAATCGTAATATCGTGCAAAGAACCTGTAGAATATTTGTCCCCTAGACAAACAAGAGAGCCTTATCTTTAATGAAGTGAAAATTTATAGAAGCCACATCATTTATACATGATACTGCAGTTAAATTAAGAAATAACTATCTGTAATGCTTTTCGTTAAAATAATTTTTTAATTAACTATGATCAAATCCAACTGTTTTTTATAAGGCAGTGAGTGTCTGTACATTTTTTTTCTCTTTGTTAACAAGGTTGGAAAAAAAGTTAATTTAAATCATTCTTTTAAAAATGTGTAAATTATTAATATTATTTCTTTTTATAGGTGCTGGCATACTTCACAATGTGTTTGTGGTTAGTGCCATTTGCTTTCTTCGTTTCATTGTCTGCCAATGAATTTGTATTGCCGACCACATCCAGTGGTGGAGTTTTAGAACAAGGTAATATATTTGAGGATTAAATTTTAAACAAGGTTTGGTTTATGTTACCTTTCTCTAAACAGGTTTGATGTATATTGTGATATAGCTAAAAATCCTGTTAGATCGTCTTTTCTACAAGCAGTATGCTTATTTCAAGTGACAGAAAATCTTAAAATTCTAAAACAAATGAAGTTTAAAAAAAATTAAAATAAAAAGATTGTTAACAAAATAAAATTGTTTGATGTCTCTTTTTAAGGCTTAGTTAAAAATTGCCTTTTAATTTCTCTTTTTTGACTAGGAAAATGTGTATGATGTCCATTTTTATAAATATTTCAGATGACAGTGATGTAGTAAGCAACTATTTCAGAAAGAATAAGAAGAAACTGGGCCTTTTGTCATTCCTTAAAACAGCCCAAGAGAGTGTTCTCCCTCAAAGAATGCGAAAACAATTTTAAAAAGATTGAAATTATCATGCTGGTCATTAATTTTTTATTGTAAATAGTTTAGTATGTGACTTTCAATACAAAACTACACATCATATTGAAAGAGATTTATATTTTAGTAAAGTGAAAGCATATTAAGACTTTAATACATTTGTCTGATGCAAATGCAATCAACCCTAAAAATTAGCAAGCACAATTTAGTAAAGATTTTTTTGCTCCAAGCATTAAAATATTTAATAGTCTTCAAATTAAAATCAAATGCTGTAGTGGTTTAGTGAAAAATCAAATGCTGAAGTGGTTTCGTGAATCATAGTCTTTATTATTTTACATTTTGCAAAAAAAAATTATGTATAATATTTGTGCTTTGAAAATCTAAGGTAAAAATAAGACAATTTTAGAAATTCATATTTTGAATGAACTATTGAATTTTTAAACATTTCAGTGGACTCTTCACTGTGAAACAAAAAAATTTTTTCTTTCTATTTTTGTAGTAAGGTTTATTTTTTTTAAATGTCAGTTATTATAGTCAGTAATAGAAAGCTAATTATAAAATAGATACAAATGTTTGTGTTTTTTAAAATATATTTTTTAAATTTATTATGCCCTCCCCAGGTTTTTTAATTATTTGTTTTAGTTTTTGAATCAGTGTATTTCTGAGCAGCTTGAATACTGATTGCTTTGTGAATGATAGTTTATTATGATGTGTTCATTTAAATGTGCCTTTTGATTGCATGGCAGTAGTGTATTATTTGTCGTAACAGCATGAAATAGTCAGGTAATCAATTAATAATCTTTTTTAAAATAACAATACAATTTTTAAAGTGTTTATTCATAATCTATTCATTATGAGTTCCTGAGTGCGACTTGAAGCTTTAAGAAGTGACAATATTTTTTGTGTTTATGATTAAGTCAAATATGTACATGTGAGGAGTTTTTTTTGTTAGACAACTTGTTCAAGTTATTTCTATGAATTTTAATCTAATATTCTTTTTGCAGAAAAGTGGATGAGGTCGATTTATATTGTTTTAATTTAATAGAAACTATTTAAATGTATGTCAAGGAGTGAGTGCATCTGGCATTAATTTAAAAAATTACGAATGATTTAAGTTATCTTAAAATTTCCAAATATAAATTGTGTGTGTTTTGATGGATTTCATAGTTTTAAAGCAAGAATTCTTCAATCACTGTTCCCTTGAATTTTTTGTATTGAGTTGCTTCTTTTTATTTGAAAAGTTGTATTTGTAAATATTCATCTTATTTACTTTTCAAACTGGTTTAGAAATAAACATGTTTGAGATTTAGTTGCCCAAGTGTTGTAAATTTGGTTACTTTTCTTATAATTATAGTTTCAGAAAATTTTAGCATTATTTTAATAATGTTCCTTTTGTAAATAAACCTTGATTATGTTAAGACATTGAATACAAATGTTTACAAATGTTTATATTTCTATTTCCTTATTTGATTTGTTCTAAATATTTAACACTAGTTTAAACACCAGGTTTAAAAAAACATATTTTAGAGTGGATTTGATTAGCAAAAAAGAAAAATTAAAGTCAGAAATAAAAATTTTAAAGTGATAGTTACATTTGATGGATATTTTTCTGTAGGATGTTGCAGGGTTGAGTTAAAGTGATAGTTACATTTGATGGATATATTTCTTTTGGATGCTGCATGCCTCAGTTAGAAATGGTTTACTAACAATCATTTATTGGTACCAGAGTTGGATCATGACAATACAATGAAATGAAATCCAAATCCATTTGTGAGTGTATTAATTTGATATTTAAATTAATGGGTTCAAGTCTCTGTCATACACTTATAACTTTTCATTTAAGTTGTAAGTTGTTTATAAATAATTTGATAATCTGCATTTAATAAAAAAGACAAACAAATATGATAAAACTCTCACATCTTTAAAAAAAAATAAACTCACATAATTACCTTTTTAGCATCTCTTTTCTTGCTTGTTTGATGTCATTAGTTAATAGCTTTGAACAAGCAATAATTGTACAATGATAACTTTGAGGTATAAATTAGATTATAAAATTATTTAGATATTTACACCAATAAATATAACTTTTATAAACAGACATTTCATTGCTCATCAAGTAATGGAAATAGTTTTATTTCACGTACAGTGTATTCATATTTAAGATAGCTAGCAAATTTACTAGTATTAGTCTGAAACTTGAATCCTGTTTATAGATAAAATGGCAATTGAAAAGTCAATCTCTTCAATTTCAATTAAAATATGTAAATTTTATACAAAATATTTTTTTAGATTTCAACTTCACAATTCATTTATGTATAAATAGCATTTAAATCATCATAACATCTTTGTTACCGGTGCACATAATGGACGGAATGAGTTTTTGATTGAAATTTTGCAAAAAGCAATTAATGAAAAGTTTAAGGAGTAATCCAGAAATATCTGTTAAAAAAACACATTTTTTCTCATTCTTGATCAATTAAATTAACTTTGCTTAAACTTAAAATACCGTAACCATTATGGTAGTTTCCCATGATTAACATTTTCTCAAAGTTGTACAATTATATAATAAAATAATACTTAGACTAAAAATAAAATGTACAGGCATCACACAAGGTTAACATGCAGTAGTATAATATTTTTATAAGCATTAAATTTACAGCAGTAATTATTGTAGTTAAATAAAAACATAATACTTCAATAACTCAGTATGCCATATTATACATAGTAAATTTTGTAAGTAGGCAACATTTATAATTATTTAGAAAAGAAATAAACATTACATAACAATACAATAACAAAGAAACTGTCTGAATTTTACATAAATTACAGGTTATGTATACACTTTTCATTATATATATGAGTAAGCCCATTGTATAGAAAAATTAATAGAAATTTCTCTTATTTAAAGCAGTTGTAGGGGGTGGGGAGGCCTGGGAAATTTTATGGGTTTATTTAGAAAATTCGTTTTTTAATTTAAATTATATTTTTGAAAAATAATAAAAACTGTTTTTGATTGTTGTCGCCAAATAATAGTTGAGGATAAACATCAAAAGAGAGTAAAATAATGCTTTATTTCACACACAACATAGAAATAAAGACCTCGGACTTTGATCTAACTTAGAGTAAATATGTCAATGATTAACACTAAAACATTGTACTTAGCTAAGCATTATGATCTGTCAAAACGTTATAGTGTTGACTCTTAACAGGACAAATGAAACATAGATTGCAAAGAGTGTTTTCAATACTTCAAATCAAAAACTAACATTGGATTGTTGATTGCTCAATCAAGAAAGTCACAAGCATACGGCCAAGAACTCATTTACAAATATTAGAGATTTTCTAATTTCATAGATATGCATCTGATATTGATAATAATAATATGGAAGATAAATTGTGTAGGAAACCAAAATCAACAGATGTCTAACAACTGAATGAATTGACTTTCCAGATAATACTTATTGCTAGTGTATGTTTTTAGCATACGAAGCATTATATTCTGAGAGACAGGATAAAAAGGTCAATATTTTTATTATTAGAGCTGTTCCGCAATGGTAAGAAATTTTTGTATCAAGTACCTTACAATTACAATTGATTATGCACCCTTAAAGACTGTCTGAAGCTGTTGGTTGTTGATTATTGTTAGATGTCTACAATTCTTCGTGTCATCCTTTGCCAACATTTGTTTGCTAAAAAAAAACCTGTCGACCATCATTTGTGCAGTAAACTAAATGATGTCTATTTCTAATGCTCTGTGTTGAGAAGATGCAGATTTTGCTGCTTCATACTTACACTGTTGTCATAATTGATTTTGTTGGTGCTGACTCCAAAGTCATCAGACACTAACCTTGCTTATATATCAGAAACGATTGTTAAATTTAATTAAATTAACAGTTGCAGGTGAATGAGATTAATGTTTTTAAAACCAAATCTATCTCTCATTAAAAATTATTTCTACTCAAATGCATAACTGGCTGTCTTGAGTTATATTAATATCCCAGCCTGAGCGGGATAAAAAAGAAGGGTGAGATGCAAGAGATTGTAGTATTACGCTACCACTTGGCTGTGCTATCTACATAAGATAGTCTCAGAGACTTAAAATTTTAAAAAGTTTTGGGTACACTTTGGAATTTTTCATCATAATCTGCATGGAAGATGGTTAAGTTACTTTTTGAAGTATTTCTTCGTTGCATTCTTATCATTTACATCTGGTGGATAGTGTTTTGTTTTAAACTATCAAGCTTTACTCAAATACAATTTTAGCTAAGATGATGAACACAAATCATTTGCTACAAAACCTTACTAAGCCCTAGCTTCCATCACATTAAGAATAATTGGGCAGTGAAATTTTAGATATATAAAGCCTTGTAAATTATTCTTCTTCTTTAAGAAACGGGGGTATCGCTTGATCAAATTAATTAGCTTATATCTATATCCAGACTCTCCAACTCAAACAATCCCTAGTCACTCGCAGTCACTTTTATTCTGAGAATGTTTTTGGGTTAAAGTTAAGGGCACTCAGGGTGAGAATGGTCCCAATATTTATTTATATAATGGGCTTGCCCATATTTGGACTGGGATTTAAATAAGCACACATTGCTATGGTACCAGTCCACTATTGTTATTCTTATTAGCTTCCATTATTACATAAATAAATGCAATTTATATTAATTACATGTGGAAGAATAGAATTTTGGCCTAATTTATAACATCAATGCAAAAAGTATAAATATAATTTATCTGTTGATAATTTTTCAAATATAACTCACTTGCTTGCAATTTGGCAAAGGATTACATGACATTGTTCTTCCAATATATAAAGGGCAAAGATTAAAATTAAAAACACATTAATAATGTCATTATGGATTGTCAAAAAAAAATAAACCATTCATTTTCCAGTTATTGAATAACATTAGTATGACTTTGATGGGAAACTGCCTAATACGAAAAGGATTTTTGAAGACAGGAATAAAATAGATGGGTTTCTCTGGGGTTCACAATAATTTCAATATATGGATTGTCACAAAAGAAAATAAACAATTAATTTTCCAGTTATTGAATAACATTAGTATGACTTTGATGGGAAGCTGACTAATACAAAAAGGATTTTTGAAGAATGGAATAAAATAGATGGGTTTCTCTTGGGTTTACAATAGATTCAATATCTGCAATCTACATTCACTATAGTATATGACATAATATACAGTATGAGTTAGAAATTGTTTAAAATTTTGCAAATAAAATTTTCAATCTTAATTTCTCAGATTGAAAGTTTAATATACAGCAGTTGTTTCTCTTTGATTATCGAAACTGGCATTATTTATTTATTTTATATATTTTTGTAAATCAAATTAGAAATAACAAAATTATGTGGTTAATTCCCATGTGGGTTAGCATAAATAAATATATTTATACAGTGGTGCCTAGCATAATAATTTAGGCCAGAAAAAACAAGACCTGCATAATAAATGTATGGCCTGGTGGAGAACTGCCTCGACTAACAAAATGTGTCCCTCATAATGAAGAATAAATTGAATTCATATGTTCTTCTATTTGATTTTGGTTAATTTGGTGTATTTATTGTGTCTTAATTTCATTTCGTCTAAAATTGTGTAGAACGGTTGGCCAGCTTGTAAAAAAAAAGTGTAAATAATTTTTTCTTCATTATACCACTTTTCCTGATTTGTGTTGGTTCATACATACTCTGGAAAATGTCATTTTTGAAAAAAAAACTTTTAGTGTAACAAACTTCATCCAGGGAGCACCAATGTTTATGTTTAAATATATTTACATATAAAATACATTCCAGTATATATATTATTATGATATACATATTATAAAAATTTAAGATACAAATTTAAATAATTTATACATCAAAACATGACAAACTATTTCACATTGCCATACATGAATAATGTTTCATTTCCTTTGATGTTTGGAAAGTGTCTTGGTTGATTCATATTTTTTAAAGTCTGCATAACAAGAGGTAGAGGAAAATTTTTATCTCTCCATTCTGTATTGGTAACACCGGACTTGGAATCTGATCTAGAGCTTGATGTCTTGGGTGATGTATGGAGTCTTACACTATTCTGCACTAGAAATGATGTTACATCATTTGTCAAATGAAGAGGAGCTTCAGATCGTCCAGTCTTATCAGCATCATACTTCCTTTTTGTATGGACATCTTCAATGTGCTTACACTTAAAAATCATTCCTCTATCAACTACAGTGGAATCTTTACCCAATACTTGATTGATGATTTCTGCAGGGAGCTTTGGCTTTCTTAGCTGTGCACCAGAACCTTTCCTTTTAATGTCTTCATCAATATTGGCAGAGGTCAATGGGGCAACAAACTTCCCTTCAAAGTACTTTGGTGCACCTTTCACTTTTGGCATCATTGTGTACTCATCCCTTGGATAATCATCTTCAAGTCCTGGTACATATTGATTGTCTGTAGCTTTTGTTGATATGTTCCAATCTTCCAAGTTCAACAAGTTTGGGGTCTTCCTACGTTTTTTTAGTTTGTTCTTTTTAGAGTTATCTTCATTTTGTTTATCATCCATAAATTCATAATCTTCATTTATTTCAAAATCTGAGCCATTTTCAGCTGTTATCTTCATTCCATCTACTATTACTTTTTCTTTGGTAGTGTGTTGTTGATTTTCTACTATTGTTTTTCTTGAAATGCTGTTTGGCCTAAAAATACTTTCTCTGTTATCTTGTCCTTTTGCATTTACAAATTTTTCTGGTGATGTTTTAGTTTCACTTTTGGTTGCCATCCACTGTTTAAAAGCCTCATCACCATAAAATTGTTGAGCAGCTTTTATTTCTTCCTCTTCCTCTAACTCTTTCAAAACTTGCAGCATTTTCACTTTCTTTAGTTGTTGCATTTCCTTTGCTACAAATGCCTTATCCTGATGCCACTTCTCAGCTGCAAGAATTCTGAGAGAACAATAGCAAATTAACAACAATAGTTAAAATTAAGCTGTGTCAAATAAACATTATTTGCATTTGGTCTTCATATTAAATTGAGTATAAAATAAGTTCAGTAATAAAAAAGTAACTCAACTAACCTAGCACATTTTCTATGGCCCCAGAGTTTGGCCAGATCAAGGGGTGTATTGCCTCTACAATCTTTGCAATCAATTTTTGCACCAACTTCAATAAGAATTTTCAAACATTGCACATGGCCTTCACTAGCTGCTTGATGGACTGGAGTTATACCATCATCGTTTGCTCTGTTTTGACATTAATGACACTGGCGTAAAACAATTTTTTAAATGGACACAAAACAAGGCAAAAAAAATAATTTATCATAACATAGGGAGGTAGTGAGAACATGAAATACATTTTAAAATATAATGAAAACAGAAAACTGTTTAAAATAATTTAATGCTGAGTATGAAGTAAATAGATCACCCATTTAATTTCATTAGGGCCTTTATGTGAGATAGCAAAGCTTTGTGGAAAAAAGTATCAACATTTGTGCTTACATTGATGAATCCGCGCCATTTTCTAAAAGGTAGACTAAGCATTGCATAGATCTTTTCCCAGTTTGGTTACTTATGCAAAGGTGAATTGGTCTCCATCCTGTTGAACTTGGAAGGTTAATGTCAACTTTGAATTTTTCAATGCACAGCTTCAGACACTCAAGTCGTCCATGAATAGCTGCTAAATGTATTGCTGTTAAGCCCTGGAAAATCATAATTTGTTAATGTATGTTTAAAGTAAAAATTAAGTTCAAGCCAAACAATTTTTGAACCCAACAATTTAAGCATCTATTAAGTGGTCTGAATATACCTATATTTAGAGTGTGCATCAACCCAAAACTTTCAACACTGGAAAAAGTGCAAGCATCCATTTGTCAAGCTAATTATGTTCATGTAAAATGAATCTTTTACTTATCATTTACATTTAGATTTTTTTGACTTAATGTTTCATGATACAAATTCTTGCAAAGCTTTACTTAATCTTTTTTTTAAAATTAGTTTTCACTCCAACCTTTCATTTCTAAAATGTATTGACATATAGTGAATCAGATGCAGCTGTAGTTGAGGTGTAGAATGGTTGTGTGTAGTAATTTAGTAATATTACATTGGGTTGGCACAAGAAGTGTTGCATCTTTCTTTGTAAAAATTATAATCTTTATACCATTTTATTATTATATTATTGTATATTTCTTTTGAGAGTAACATTAATTTCTTGAACTTTACAAAATTTCTATTGCAAAAATATTTTCTTTGTATTAATCATTTTAGATTTTGGTGCCCCCTAAAATGTTGGGGCTCTTTTACCATGCTTTCCTCAACTTATAATAAATAGCAGTGAACACTTTTATTTTTAACACTTAACTTACATTTTTATCAAAGTTAATTTCTGAGCCCGAGTCTTTTAAACTTTGTTTTAGCCATTCAACATCACCAATAGCAGCTGCCATAAATTCATCATCTGCTATTTTCTTTTCTAAAGTAAGTTTTGTTCTTCGGCGTCTCAAAGGAGGAGCAGCTGTTTGTGGCTTTGAAGAAACTGCAGACATTTTCTAGAAAACGATGAGAAAAAGTCAGACAGCTATCAATTTTTTCCTAAAGAAATTTAAAGTATTAATTTAATAATCAATTTTGCTTGAATCGATCAGATATATTTTAGAAACATCTTGAGATGTTGGTGGCTGGTGGGGTCTTTGTGTGGTTTAGATCTAAGGAAATGATCATAACGTGGATAGTGATGTCAGTGACTAAGCTTCAAACACTTTTGTTCAAATGTGGCATTTTCCTAAAAGATGCCTAACATTCTGTTTCACCACTTATCAAATACACAAAAAAGAAGTGCGCACTGGCACATACGGTTTTAGCTGGGCAAGCTAATATTTGCTACAGTGTCTGCTTGTCTATTTCCAGCTATGTCTGGGATCCACAAGCAGGCCCAGATTACCCATTTAACAATATAAGTATTAGCTTAGGGCACCATGGGAAAGGGGGCACACCAAAAATATTCAAAAAACTATACAGATATTGAACCTACTAGCTGTCATATGGGGGATGATTGACTGTTGCTTATGTTCCACATCGGCAGTTATGGAAATTAATATTATAATGCTAATAATTATTGTTTATTTATTAAAAAGGGGGGGGGGGGGGGGGGGGGGGTAGTTGAGGTTGGCAACTCTAAAAAACTATTCATATTTCCCACAAATTGATTTTAAAACAATTTAAAATCTAATGTGTTTATACATTTGACCAGGGGTCAGAAACATTTTGGCATTAGTGTGCTAAAGTAAGACTTCTATCAAACTCAGGAATTTGTTAATATTTTATAATTTTTGATGACTTCCCGGTGTGGCATTGAAAATCACTCTGCATGTCAAATCTAGATGCAAGATAAAATGCGTTTAATTAAGTTTTTCAGAAAAACTGAAATGATTAAAACTGAAACAAGGTAAAGCTGTGTATATAGTGTCCAAAACTGAAAACTAGACCCATTTCTTCACTCAAGTTCCACAATATTAAAACACTGATACAAACACAAACTTTGAAATTGGAGAAACAGGCACTTAGCACTGACTGTTGCCAAGAGGCAGTCAATTTTCTCTCAATAGTACAGCTGCTGTATAATTTCTTTATCTGCATCCACCAGCCAATGCAAATTCTTTAAAATCCCTTTCTGATGCTAGATGGGTGGCACATGCTATGGCTACAGCTACAATATTGAATCTTATTCTAAAATTTTAGAAGCATCTGAAGATCTGTATGACAGGGGAGATATTAATAGAAGAGAAGGAAATAAGATGCACAAATTAGAATTTATCTTTTTTTGAAATGAGATTTAACAAAATTTTCCTAAAGTAAGCCAAAGTCTACAGATAGGGGTGTGATTAATATAAAATTAAAAGCATGTGTAGATCTCTATGAACCATTAGGTGATGAAACGTGTAATTTGTGAGATCATTTTGAAAATATGATGCAGCTTCTGAAAGAATGGTACCAGCAGATGTGGATTTTAAGTTAACTCAAAATGTTACAGAAAGATAGTTACCCAATCATGGTGATGGAGCAGAAATATATCTAAATGTGAGAGACAAATTCCATAAATACCTTTCCTGCAATTGCTGATACACTAGTAAATGAGATGTGAAAAAGAGGAGAGGTATTTATTAAGTAATCAGATAGAGATATTCCATACTAAAACCATCACCTCATAATCATCTGAAAGTGACAGATATTTTCAGGAATGTGAAAAACTTATTAATGCTTAACCAGAGGACTTAAAGAATAATTTTACAGCTGATCTTCAGCAGGTTCATTCTTATATGTAGCATAAATTAAGTGCAAATAAATCTGAAAAAAAAACCTACTCATGCATGAGTAAGTGGAAAATGTTGGAGAGTTAGGGGTGAATGAATAAGGTTAATAACCTAAGGGACCAACTGCTCTGAAGAAGGGTCAGTGTAAAACATGGGGGGAAATGTGAGGTAAGCAATATTGGTATATTTTTAGGAAGGGAAGAGGGAGGTAAGCAATTATGTAGGATATGGTTCCAGATGAAGTTTTTTCTTCGGAATAAAGGGCAGAAGTTACTTGGGTAGCTGTCAAAGGGTAGGATTTTTGTTAAGGTATATGAACAAACATATTCTAAACTGACTTCACAAAAGCAGGTAGGGTGATTCACAACATCCTTTGCATTATTACTTGGGTAAATCTGTGAAAAACTTGTAGTTTTATAAGGGTGGTTTAAAAAGTAGGCAGACAGCACAAATATTAGAAAGTTATACAGTAAATGGCAATCCCTTAGTAAAAACTTTATTGCAGACACCAGAACCTGGTGATAACAAAATGATGAGAACTGAACACTGTCAAGTCTGTAGCTACTTCAAAATGCCAGATAAAAATATTGACCATACAGGGCCTACCTTTCACCACTGCTCACATCATAAGGCTCAGAAAAATGTGTGAAGTCCCTAACCAAAAGCCATGGACTATGCTATTTTATTTGGAGATGACACATTAAGATGACACAACCCAACAGACGAGGCAACCTTTTTGTGAATAGGTTCTCTTAGAAATTAATTTGTTTTTGCCAGGGTGTTTGATAATTTTCTCTAGGGCTCTACCACACTGTGTCCGTAAAAAAGGGGAACTCTTTTTATAATTATGAAAATTGATGTAAATATTTATCAATTTTTTAAATTCCATAAATAATTTTAATTCTAACATGTGAAAAACTTAAGCTTTATCAGAGACTGTTCATTATTTTTGGTATATCAGGACTAAAATGAGTTGGTTTTTAAAAATTGATGAATATTTACTAGTTTTATTTTAATCATTATTTTCTGGATACAGTGTAGAGTTAAAATAATTTGTTATAAATTAAAAATAGGCAATAATTATTTATGAGTTGATAACTAACAGATAATTCAAAAATTATAATAAGATGAGAACCAACTGCAACAGATAACATTTGATAACTAGTTAATAGTAAAATAAAAAGCCCACAGGCCATAGTTTTCCCACCCCTGGGATAGAGCCTAGTTGCTGCTGATGTACTCTGTACTGATTTGTTTCAATCAGTAGGGAGCCATCCATATAGTATGTAGGCTAAATAGTGTAAAATTTTCTATCCCTCTCCCCCTTTTTTGGACACTCCCCACGTGTATATACAACAATGAGCTTTCGACCCTCCCAACCAAAAAAAAACAACAACAAAACACAACAAAAGATTATTATGATATCACAGTAACAAATGTGTCAGACATGTTTTCATGCTGTGCTGTTTGGCCAGCCCAGTAGTTCCCAAAATATGCACCGCATCACCCTAGGGTTCAGCATTCCCCTAGGGTGCGGCATTCCCTTTCAGCAGGACAAAAAGAAAGGAGCAAAGATGGTACTTGTCCCAGGTGCCAACTTAATTTACTTAATAAACGTTTTTATAAACTTTACTTTAATCTTTATGATTATGACTTTAATTATAAATATAATATAATTTAAAATAATAATTATATTATTATACTTATACTATATTATAGTATATTATTATTATTATTATATTATATAGTATTAGTATTGACAATTTAATATTGGAGTTATTTCATTTGTATTTTGTTTTAAAAGTCTGACCACAATATTATATTGTCTATAATTACCTTAAAACTACTTTGAAAAAGGAATGTCTTACCACAACAAGTCCACGCTTTTTTATACACAATATATGAATTTTTACTGAATTATTTTCTCGACAAACTAGCTGTGATTTTGTGGTTATTGGTCGCCAATGACGCGGAGTTCATTTTTATTATTTTTATTAATCTAATGTCGTAACACCCAAAGCATACATACTTCAATACGGTGGTCGTAAAATTGTTTTCTTTCCTTAGATACAGATCATGGCGGCGTAAACTTTGATGATTGATCGATCTGAATTTTGGTATATTGCAATATTGATATTTAAATATAAAAAAAAAAAAAAAAAAGAGCAATGAAATCAATGTTCCATATAATTTGGCGGCGTAAACTTTGATGATTGATCGATCTGAATTTTGGTATATTGCAATATTGATATTTAAATATAAAAAAAAAAAAAAAAAGAGCAATGAAATCAATGTTCCATATAATTTTATAAATGCAAATATGAGTTAAGTTATATTGTGATTAATTAATTAAGACAATAATACACAATTAGTCTACTGATAATGAAAACTTGGTCTTAATTAATTTACTTTTACTGTGACTTCAATTGTTTCTTATTTTCGTTATTGATAATATTTAATATGATATTATATTCATTATTCAAAGAATTCAGTCATATTCATAAGTATGTAATGTTGTTTTAATTTTTATGAAAGGTGTATAACTTCACTCAGAGAGACTGTAAGTAAAGAATTTTTTTTTTTTACATTGACTCACAAAAATCTAGCTCAGCTCAGTTAGGTCAGTGGTCAGCAAATCACATGCGGCTCTTTAGCGACCTGAGTGCAGCCGGCCACAAATTGGTTTTGACTCTGAAAAACGTGGTTCTTGACAGGTTCTTGAAATGAAATTTGGCCCTCTAATTTTTAAAATTGTCCTGCTGCTGATTTTTGGCTCTTTTGACTAATGAGCTAGGAATGAGTTTGCTGACCACTGGCTTAGGTCATCAACTAAAATAAAAGATGCTTCCAGTTTTAGCCATATTTCAATTTCAGCAACAAGAAAATGTAGGGTAAACTAGTCACACTAACTTGCAAGCAGCAAAGCTAGAACACTTTTTAGAAGAACATGAAAGTTGACTAGCAAAGTATAAACAGGGGATCCTTGAACAGCTTAAATGCCTCAAATATCATTTTGAAGTTTTCATCATGATCAAATTTATTTACTCAGAATTGCCTCAGAACTTGTATTTTTCATGCCATAGTTGTGTTTCAGGTTAATAAATAATAATAAAAATTAAGATGGTGGCTTTTAATGTGGCATGTGGTGGCAACTTTAGTAGAAAAATTTTCAAAATAAACTAGTGACAATGAAAACCATAGAGGGCCACACATTTTTTCCAATAACCATCTGGGACCATTTGCACTTTTTTGCCCTATGCTCTCTATAAATCCATATAATATAATTATATTTATATCAAATATTGTTCCATTTGCATTTAACATAATGGAGCGCTCTTCTGTGTGTGAGTGAGATGATTTTGTATCCAAATAAGTTATAGAGACCCTATGGGACAGTCCATCGGACTGAAGAAGCAGAGGTTTTAGCCCTTGTTAATCTTTTTTGCGGAGAAAGCAGAAAAGCATTTTGAGAAGTACATAGCAAGTTTCCGCAACACAGCTGAAAGGATGATGGGTTATCACTAATTTTCAGCTTAGAGATGCAAGTGAAGTTTGCTACATTATTGCTTTGTTTGTAACACATATCAGCATTTTTGTCTGATTGAAAGTTTACTATCAAAGGTAATTTTGTTTTCTTAGCTACAACGGATCAAAACACACTAAAATTTAGTGGAAATAATAGGAAAAAAAACTATAGTTGTCCTATATCCTTTAGTAAACTATAGTATTATAGGACTAGGCTATATCATATTGATATATGCCTATATAATTACGTATATGCCTAACCCTAAAATTCATGCAACATTCCCATTGATATGCAGTAACAGAGGACTTCATAGAAATTGAAAACAAGGATTTAAGCTTAATTATATTAAATTCTTGTTCTAGTTTTTAAATGTATATTTTAATAATTTTTTTTTCATTGGCATGGTCATATTTAGTTTATTGAGCTTTCCTTTATTTACTTTGGATTTGCTAAGACAGTGCTGTCCAACTAGCTGCCCTTGGCCTGCATGCGGCCCGCAGACTGGTTTTAAATGGCCCGTGGACTGGTTCTATAGGCCCGCCAGAGCTTGAGACATTTTTACCATTTACCATTTGTTTAAAAAATAAACATGTTAAATTTAAATGGAAAAAAACAAACAAATGACATTCAGTGAGTCAGTATTTTTGAGAAATTGCACAAGTACAGGAGAAGTGGGGGCATTCAAAAAAAGAAGGGATGTTGCAAAAGGAGAGAGATGCTTGACAGGTAACAGTTATTTATGATAAGAGCATCAGCAGATCAACAATGTGGGAACATGGGGGTGACATGAAATCAGATCCTAACTTCTTTGTCTTTCTGCTGCTTTGATTGACCTAAAAAAAGGGGGATGGCGTTGTCGTGGTGTATGGGTATATTTATTTACTGCATTACTAATGGAAAGATGAATTGGAAACTTAAAGTATGCTAACTTGATGTGTAGCTAGCTGGCCATCATAAAATGTCCATGCACACCAACGTGACAGGTTTAGATGAACTAGATATGTGAGCACCACATGTTAAAATGAGTGGGCTTTATGGCATGATAATAAGAAGACAGGAGTTAACAAGATGAGATCTAGGGTGTTAAAGGTGTCACAAATGACTGGAGGGGAATGTGAACCCATTGAAAAATAAAAGGCAGTCTGTCCAAGTGGGGGCAGTATGTCCATCCCGTATTTTTTAGATGAAATCAGACTAGTTCCTGGTATTCAATAATCAGAGTATGATCAATTCCAAGAGTGGAAAGCAGGATAAAAGCTCTGTTTGTAGTTAGTGCAATAAAGTCAGGGAGAAATTCAGAGAGACAGTAATGACGATTCTTGAAAGCATTTTTATTTCTAAAAAGATCAAACCAAAATTGCAAGTAAAAAACAGAAAGTTACAGAAGAGAACCGTACTTTTAACACTTCATGGGAACTGGAATTTTTGTTTTCATTGTTTAATGAAAAGCCAGTGTGTTTGATATCCAGACTTCTATTTCTGTTATGAAAAAGGCCAAAATGCAGAGACACCACAAGTCAGTGCATGCATACTTTGAGAAGAGTATCCAATTGGAACAAAGTTTAGAGACGACAAAGTTATTTATTTAAAAAAGGATCTGAATGGCAGACAAATTGTTTATTGTCAGATTTTGAACTCAAGCGACTGTGTTACTGAAGCATCTTTTAATATTAGCTAGAGATATTAGCTAAGAAGCAAAAACCAAATTAAGATGATGAAACTGTTAAACTTTGTTTTCAATAATCTGCAGATTCATTATTTTCTGAATTTAAAAAGAAAGAAGAAATAAAAAACAAATATCTAATCTTCAGCTTTCTCACCAGATGGTAGGAAATGAGTAAAACAAAGTAAGGTCAAACCTGAATAAAGGAACGCAGCTAAACATGAACGTGTCAGCAGGAAGCCTTCATCAGCGAACAAACAACAGTAAAAATATAATAAAATTAAAAAATAGCACTTAGCTGAGAAGTAGTATCCGAGAGGGCAGCAATTTAAAAAAATATCGAAAGACTGTAGCAGGACATGTTGAAAGGATTCCAAGGATATCTTTGAGCAGTTGCTTTATGATTTTAAAAATGCTACAGGCTTTAGTCTTGCATTGCATGAATCATGTGATATCAATGACACAGTCCAACTTATTGTTAGGGTTACATTTGACAAGGAATATGGATTTAAAGAAGAACTATTGGCACTACTTCTAATGAAAAATACAACCCATGGTGAGGATGTATATTTGGAATTTCTATTAAAGAATAGTATTGATTTGAAGAAACTTATTTTTGTTACAGCAGTTGGTGCTCCTGCAATTTTGGGAAGTAGAGTTGGCCTGATTGGTTTGCTGATGGCTGACAAAGATTTTCGAGACATTCAAGTATATCATTGTAAAATTTACCAACAATCTCTTTGCTCAAAGCTGAAAGATGATGCATTGCAAAATTGTATGGATAGTGTAGTGAAAATTGTAAATTTCATTTGAGCTAATCCATTAATTCACCATCAGTTTAAGTCTTTGTTAGGAGAATATGAAAGAAAGTTTGGGGATTTTGTTCTCCATACTGATGTTCATTGGCTGAGCAAAAGGAAAGTGTTGGAAAGATTTTGGAATCTAATTGAAGAAGAGAAACTGTTTCTAAGGTCCAGAGCAAAGAGCGATTGGTTAAACAATATGGACATGCCTGAGTTTATTGTAAGTGCTAGCATTTCTAACTGATATCACAGATCACCTTTATAAGTTAAATGTAAAATTGAAAGGGTGTTTTCAAATCTTACCAACACTTACGAAAGAAATTAGTGTTTTTGAACCTAAGCTGGACTTATTCATTACTAAAATGAATCAATCAAGTTTCACTCACTTCCCAGCCCCTGCAAAGGTTGCACAACAACTTCCAGAGCTGGTCACAAGTGAGAGATTTAATCTATTGTTAGGAAAGTTGAAGTTAGACTCCACAGATCATTTTAAAGATATTCACAGTCTTACTCCTGTTTTAATTTTTATTCAAAATCCATTTAAGTGTGATATCTCCATAGTACCACAAAGATGTCATTATTAGGAGCAGATGAAGGTGCAGTGCAGCTTGAAATCATCAAAATTCAATAAAACCTGGCTCTTCGTGCAAAGCATAAGAATGCATTGCCAACTGAATTCTGGATGTACTATGTTTCTTCCGATAAATATCCACAACTATTGAAATTTTATAAAAAGATATTGACAATGTTTGTTAGCTGTGAAGCTGGATTCTCAGTAATGACCAACATCAAGTCCAAAAAATGAAACGTTTTGACTGACAAACGTTTGGGAAACCAAATAAGGGCAGCAGTTAATGAATTCCAGTCAAATTAAGAAGACTGCTAGTTCAAGTCAAAGCCAAATATCCCATTAAAGATATGCTATAGTTTTTATTAGTTGAGATGATACTGATAAAGGATATATGATTCTTTAAG